ATCGCTATAAATGAATAAACTAGCTGATATCCTTTTGTTTTCTAATTTAAAAGTACTCTTATATACTTTACAATTCATATCTATCGTTACTTTACTTACAACTAAGTCTGTTTATCTTCTAAACTTTTATTTTGGCTAAAATGCAAAGACTGCATTTCGGGACAAAATAGACCGTTTCTATGACATAGAATTTATAATGTAATTAAATTGCTTGTCTTAAAGTTTCTACGAGTTGTAAATTAAGGGGAAGTCCATAATTAACGCAATCATTGATGTGGCCGGGTTGAGGATAAGCTAAATGCATTTTTTGTTGGAACAATTGGTTACTTGGCAAGTTGCAAACAATCAAAATGATTACGCAATATAGAACACCCTTAAAGGATGTTTGTGTAGGCTGAATCATTCACATAAGCATTTGGTGAACCGATTGAATAGTTAAGCTAAGATGCAGAAGCCTGCCTCCCCACGATTAAATAATATTATAACTTAGGTCTTCGGATAATTTATTTCATCGTCCTGCCGCTTTATTCTGACGCATCATGATGTTTGGCTAGAAGATCAGCTCTGTAATCTAGAATAGTTCCCGGTTATGCTCTTAACAAAGTAATGATTTTAAAACCACTGGAAAACACGGCCCTGAGTACTTGGTCATGCTTAATTGCCGCCTACAGAAGGAGTGGCTAAGGCTAAACGAAACTGAAGGTGGGAGTAACCTAGCAACGTCAGGTTCTTTCAATATTATGGGGGTATGGACTACGCCTTAATCTATGTATAGATACTATTAACATGTTTTTACGTCGGGATGTTCAGCGTCTTGAACTGTTCTTCGTGCATTTCAGTCATCATAAAGGTGCCATCCTGTAGCAACAAAACGACGCGACGGGTTCCTCCTAAAAAAGATATTATAATTATAGATTCCGTTTTTAAACATTCAATCAATCATAACAACTTACCCGGTGAAGGCAGATCTGCCTGCACCACCTCGGCTGGTATCTGTGCTTCTGTGCCATCGCTGTCAGAGGTCGTGATATGGATCTGGGCCGTCGCCGGTGTTCCGGTACCTGATGCAGAAGCCTCTGCTTGCTGAAGCACCTGATGCTGCGCTAGTTCTTCCTCTGTCATGGACACGAGAATCTGCTCGCCGTCTGCCGTCGCTGACGCGACACCGTGAGACTCAATATGTTCTCCGGCCTGAACGGCCTCGGCCACTGCGTGGTCAAGAGAGAGAACATCCTGGTCCTCTCCCTCTGCGGCAGCCACATACGCAAATTGCTGCTCGCCATCCGGGCCCTGGGTGACAAGAATGGTTTGGCCCTCAGCATTTTTTCCCGCCACTTGGTAGACAGTGCCGTCTTCGCCGCGCACCAGCAGAGCCGAGCCGTCCTCGTTTGTAAGAACTTGTTGATCGCTGCCCAGAAGCGCCTGTGCCGCGGCCTCCAATTGCTCGCGCTGTTGCTCTTGCTGCTGTTCCTGTTCCATTTGCAGCTGAGTCTCCTCCTGACCAATAAGCTTGCCGGTGATTGGACACAGCTGAGCCTGGTGCTGATGCACCTCCTCCTCTAGCTCCATCTGCAGCGGCGTTGGCTGGAGCGCCGGCTTGGGAGCTATTCGTTGTCGGCCAGGAGCCACTTTCTGCATTTGGGAGGACTGCTGCTGCTGAGCCAAAACCTGACGCTGGCGGGCCTGGGCAGAACGCTGCGCCAACAGCTCTTCGCGGGTCACCACTTTACGCGTAACTTTTAAGTCGCCCGACTTCGAAAGCTGCAAAATCTTTTGCTCAGGCGTCACTGCCTTGGGGCCCTGTGGACGTTGTTGCGGCGTTCCGACACCGGCGCGTGCTAGGACTCGGCCGCCCGGGTGTGCCCGACCCGGCGTCTGCTGCAGGCTCTGGCGCACCTGTGTGTGTGTCGTACCCACCGCAGAACGTCGCTGAACTGCTGTCGTTGTGGGACCCTGGCCGGGGGTGCGGAGAACCTGTTGTCGCTGGCCCACAGTGATGGGGGAACTGGCGCCGGAGTGAGTAGGCCGGGCCACTGGCAGACGCTTGGCTACGCCTGTGGTTACAGGCGCGGTGATTACCTTCTGTGGCGGTGCCGCTGCTGGCGAAATAGGGGCCGGTGCCTCAGAATGTTCAACCCGAAAGACACCTCTCGTGCTGCTGGCCACCTCAGAGCGCGCTAGATAACGCACAGGACACTCCGGCCTATCCTTTTTCTGGAACGGGGTACGAGGATCGTTAGTTAATTGCTGCTGCACAGTAACATTATTTCCACTATTTACCAAGTGTATGGTGTTGGGCATCTCGGGCTTGCGAAACATGCCCGAGCTCGTGCTATCCTCCGTGTAGATAATCTCACCCATTCTTTGCTCCGTAGCGGACACGGTGGTAGAGCTTCCGTTCACTTTAGTCTGCTGCTTTTCCGTTGCCTGAACCCGTGGCTTGTTCAGCTGCACGGAGCTCCCTCCGTTTTTTAGACGCTTCACGGTGTGCGATGGCAGATCCTCTTCAAGGTCCTCTAGTTCCATTGAATCGTTTAGCCCGCTGCCCTCGAGGCTGGAATCTGTGTGGTTAAGTTTGCGCTTGACTGGGCCCGTCGACGGGGGCCATTCTTGTTCCGTTGCGGACTCATCCTCGTTGGCTGAGGAGGGTGATGAGGAGCCATCCCCGCCACCAGTTTCATTTACCCACTGCTTGAACGAGTCCATGGCCTTGGTTTTGGAAGTGCGCGAGGGCCGAGATGATGGCGAAACTTGGGATGGCGCCGGGACCGGGCTGAGTGGAGCGGCGGTTTCCGCCTTCAAAGATGACCCTGGTGTTTGCGTGCGTTTCAGTGCGTCTAGACCCTTTTCCCTAGTAAGCTTCTGTCGCGCAAGCTGCTTCTCGAACATCTGCAGGAAGTACGGCACCCGCTCGAGATTTGCCATTACTTCCCAGGTGTTCTCATGGTGCGAGCGATCCACCCACTTTACCAAATACTCGTGGGTCTTGCGGCGCGGGTTGAAACGCTTGGCCACTATCTTCTCCACTGGCTCCTCGGTGCGCTGTTCTGTCTTGGAATCGATGCGAATGGCAATGCGGTTGTTGGGCTTTACTGTTCCGGCGGAAGCCGCTGAGGGAAGTGTTGGGGTGCCCGGCTTGGACTTGGGCCTTTCGTTTTCCGTGTCCTTTAGCTGATTGGCCAGCGTGGGCAGCTTGCCGGCCGGGGATTCTGACAATACAAATGCTAAATTTAATATCTAGTTTAACGTTTATTCTAGAGTGTTTAAATACTTCTTGTGGGGGAGACGCTCGTGTTGTTGTTGCTGTTGGACGTGTTGTTATTGTTTGGATTGACCACCGTCTTGGTGATGCGCACCGGCATATCTTGGAGCTGTCCGTGGGCGATCTTGCCGAAGGACTGAATGGTCTTTCCGGCAACGATCCATGGCTCCCGGACGCTCTCCTCCAGTTTAACCCAGTGCTGATACAGAGCCCAGGAATTGGCCGAGTTGGCGTCCTTGCGCGTATGTAGCTGCGTGGCCTTCCACAGCGTGAATGCCCAGATGGTGGGCTTGGTGTCGAGCGTTTCCTTCAGATTTGCATTCTCCTTCTCGCAGGCATCCTCTTTGTGGGACTGAAACTCTTCCACAAAGTTGTAGGCCCTCAGGCAGCGTCCGCACACGAGAACGTCCATGTTTGCCAGTTCCTCCTGGGCAGCTGCAAAATAAAATGTTGACAATTAGTACAATTCGGAAAATTCTTTTATCCACTTACCTCTAATAATGTTTGCGTGTTTGCCAATTTCTGTGGGTGCAATCTCCTGTGCCAACATTATTCACGACCCCAGCGCCCAAGCCTCTGTGAAATACATGAAGTGTAAGTTGTAGATAGCAGAAGGAGCGGAAATTATTTGTTATTGCTTGGCTTTCAAAATCAGCTAACAGCCGAAGAAAAAAGTACAGTGCCGTGGTGTGTTTGCGCAAACTTGGATAGGGTGGCAACGCAAGCGGTCGTCTCTGAGGTGTGTGACCGGTATGGTGGGTTAAAGCATATGTACATCTGCACTGCAATAGGTAAATGCAGTCGCGCTTTGGAAGCAAAAAAAAAACACTGAAAACTGCAATTAAGAAAACCCGCACCGGGCCATTGCCAAATAAAAACAACTTTTTAAAGTAATTTCATTGATTCATGTTAGGCTTCGAAGTGTTTTATGCACTTTTTTTGCAAATTGTAAATTGTTTTTAAGTTCATCACTTGTAAGCAGAACACTGATACTAAAGTAAATTAGCACTACCTCTGCGTGTGAACCTATTAAATAAAGCCCATTTAGTAATTACATATCTGTATTTCATAAAATCCACACAACTTCTGGTTGCCCGCTAAAATTGTGCAGCCAACAAATATGTACATAGACTTGGCAGATAAGCATATCACACAATGAGATATTAAAAGTGTTTTGCGAATACACTTTGCTACACACCTTCATACACAATTTCGGCTGCAAAATCGAAGTGAACACAGTTTTTGAACAGTAATTTTAATTTAACTGATTCCCGATTTTTCAACACGACCAGCGCCGCTGCTGACAATTGTACGCGCGAACTCTGAATGCCAAACGCAAAGTTGGTTCGGATGCACGAAAAGTGTCCAGTGATGATTTAGTGCCGGCTAGGCGGACCTTTGTATGCGCTTCTGTGTTTGCTGGCCTTGCACTTAAACGCAAGTCGGAGAACATTAACAGGCGGAGATTTTCAGCTAACTGTAGTTTTGCTAATTTCTAGGACGGTAATATTTGTACATTATTTATCATAATAATACGACCGTTTCCATACGTACACAACACTTAAATGCCCACACATCGAGTGTAGAGCTCTTTTCCGTTCGCCCGCGTGGCGGTGCACTTCGTCAGCCAATCACGGATCGTGGTGAAATTATTTATCGATGTGGTAACTTTGTGCACATTGCAATCAAAAAATATTTTATTTTTTGGTTCAATATCGTAATTAATATTAAAATTTATTAATTTAATTAATTTCGTCAAACAATTTATTATGCAATAATTATTGCTATTATTGTTTGCGTCAATGGTCCGTTTTAAACCAAGGTGGCAACCCAGAGCATTGTATTTATTCTTGGCGCGGTGTGTACACACTGTATTATTGCCGGTGTCTTTGGTTGGAATTCCTTTAATTTGTTGAATTCGATTGCGAGTAGTAAAACAGGGCTGCAAATATGGCCGACGACGAACAAGAGGATCAGAAGGAGTACCGCTGGGAGACGGGATATGAAAAGACCTGGTGAGCGATGCGCGAAGTGATGTGAACCTGCTTACATTCAATCTCTTTAGGGAGGCAATCAAGGACGATGACGACGGCTTGCTGGATGGAGCCATTGCGGAGATCATTCAGAAGGCCAAGCGCCAGCGCCAGGCTCAAAAGTCCAAGCAGAACCGCCTGGGTATGATGCGCCACCTGTTCCTTGTGCTGGATTGCTCCGAGTCCATGAGCGTGCCGGACCTGAAGCCCACGCGATTGCGCTGCACCGTCAAACTGCTCGAGCTGTTCATCGAGGAGTTCTTCGACCAGAACCCCATCAGCCAGCTTGGCATTATTGCGCTTAAGGCCAAGCGGGCTGAGAAGGTGACCGAGCTCACCGGAACCTCGCGCGTGCACCTCAAGGCGCTGGAGAGGTGGGTTACAGTAGGCCCTTTTGAATTCCGACTCATTCCCCTCTCTTTCAGCCTGGCCAACGTCTCGCTGACCAGCGAGCCTTCGCTGCAGAACGGCCTGAATCTGGCGTTAAAAACCCTGAAAGTTGTCCCCTCTCACGCTTCCCGCGAGATTGTCATTATCATGGGATCGCTCACCACCTGCGATCCCGTGGACATCAACCTCACCATCGACGAGCTGAAGAAGGAGGGCATTCGCTGCTCAGTAATTTCGTTGTCGGCGGAGATTCACGTTGCCCGCTACCTCACACAGCAGACGATGGGCACTTTCGGGGCGGTTCTGGATGACGCCCACTTCCGGGACCAGCTTATGTCACAGGTAGATCCGCCGCCCGCCGCAAAGACGCAGCACAATTCGCTCATTCGCATGGGTTTCCCGCACACCAAGAATGAAGTGGAGGGCAAGGACGCGCCGCTGTCTATGTGCATGTGCCATATTGAAAACTTGGAGGAGCCCAGCGAACTTTGCACCACTGGTCACCATTGCCCGCAATGCAACAGTAAATACTGTGAGCTGCCCGTCGAGTGTCAGTCCTGCGGACTCACACTAGTCTCGGCGCCACATTTAGCGCGATCTTATCACCACCTGTTTCCGGTGCCCAATTTCGAGGAACTTCCGTTCGAGGCAATGCCTGCCACCTCCTCAGACCTCGGAAGCGGAGTCAGGGAGTGCTACGCCTGCGCCAAGGCCCTCGGGCAGGTCACCGAAAAGGTCGCCGACAAGGTCGTATTCAAATGTGGATTCTGCAAACAGTTCTTCTGCATCGACTGCGACATCTTCATTCACGAGACCCTGCACGCCTGCGTGGGATGCAACACCATTCCTGGCGTGGACGGCCTGGTCTACCAGCAGAAGACCAAGGCCGACCAGGATGAATCCCACCCGGGGACCTCCAAGCAGCGCGCCCAGTTTGGCATGTAACTGACTTTCTTTAGACATATTTATATTAGAAACTCCAACTACGCATTTAGGGCAAAACCAATACAGTTCAATTCGTACCGGTGTTCGTGAGTTGTATCAATTAAGATCTGGTGTTATGCTTAATAATTGTGAAGGTGAGCGTAGCAATAGTATGGCCGCTGTCAAACCCTCTCATTTTCATAGCAAATTGCTTGGTCGTTGGTTCCCCGTGCCTCCCCATGCCAACTTGGCGGGCTTTTGTCTACAGCCCGTTTGAGTTCATCGTCAGCGCTTGTTGCATTCGGTTGGGTTTTGTTTCTATTCGATCGCAAAGCTCTCGGCATCCACAGGTGTTCTCGCTGCCACTACTGGCGGGAATAAAGTTAAACCCGCGTTGGTGTGAATTTCGAAGCGACCGGCCCGAGAGATAACTTTGTTTTTGAGCAGGTCTGTTGCGGAGTAGAGGTACTGCTCTATGACACCCATAAAGAATTTGTGGAGACGATGACGCTGCTTTTAACTAGTATTAAACTAGTTTGAGCCCAGCTTAACCGCCACAGTTATCGATTAATTTATTATATGTTAAACATTTAAGTGAAGAGCTACAGCTTATTATAAAGGTTACCATTGACATAAAATTTATAAATGTACATATATTTTTCAAAGGTGCTATTATAGAGTTGAGATCTGCATTTATACTTGGTACTGCTATCATTGTTTTCAACCCATTGTAAGCAAAGATTAGGTAGTAGGTTTTAGTTCTACATTCTTGGCTCGAAATAAGCATTTAATTTAACATTCGGACGAGAAATCGGCCCTTATGAGAAGCTTAATGTTCTAGATTCATTTCCATATTCGCAACTTATAGATGATAAAGTTTCCAGCCCAATAAAATATAAACATTGGTTGATTGCTTACTGATTTTTAATTTACAATGGCTTTGACAAAAGGACATGTTTTATATTCATATAAGAGGTGGACATAGACATACATATTAGGAAGAAATATAATATAAACTTAATTTGGAAAGCAAAGTAGTAGATACTCAGTTTATTTTGATTTGAATAATTAATAATTAATTATAAATTAAATTGTTTGTTTGGCGGCTAGGGTCGAGTACAGTTATTCCCAATGACCGATTATCGGTTCACTGCCGACCGCTGATTTAGAGGCGTCTTTTTTCGACTTTTTAAAGTACCTTGAAAATCAGAAAAAACATGATTGCGTAATATATGAATGTATAGAAAGCCCCTTGTATAAAATGCGAAATTTAACCTGATTTTCTGTGCTTCACATAATTGGCTACGCCAGATATGAAAAACCTTTCTGGGGTTCTCAACCAATCAAATAAAAACACATAAATATGTTTTGGACAAACTGACAAACAGAATTAAATTTTCATTTTGGGAAGAAGAAGAAAATCTTATTTTGGCTATAACTTTTGAACGGAGCGTCGGATTTTATCATATGACCCCTCATTCGACGGGTATCAATAGGAACACAACTAAAACATTGCGAGGGGGCATTTATCCCCACCGGCCCCAACAGCTCCAAATTTCGAAATTTTCACTGTTTTACTTTCACCGCTCTTTCTCCCAAGCCAATTGATTTTCTTAAAGTCTTGGTATGCAATCCTTTAAGTTTTTGCAATGCCTTTCGATTGGTGTATTACTCATTACGATCGGACTATTACAGCAGATTTTCAATTTTGCGGCTATATAATAGTAGTCGCCTTCGCACACTCTTCTAGTGCGCTTCGTCACTACATGGACTGCCGTCCATAGTGATCTAAATAATATTCTTCTATTGAAGTTGATTTAGAACGCAGATCGCAGTTAAGCGACTGTCAGACAGCTTAGTCTACCTCGTTAATTACTGACTAGCCCAGCATCATGGCAGCTTACATTCACTTACTTGTACTAACGTACAACGTCCGCATCGCACCCCACACAAAAAGTGAGAAATCACAATCACAAATCGCTTGTGATAATTATATGTGAAAGTGGAATGAATCAGATAATAAATATCTCTCTTAATTATGTACGTTTGTCTGTATGGGGATTCGCGGTAATTAAAGGCCAATTGCGATGGGCCAAATTGCGGGAGTAAAAAACTGGAGGGCCCTTCTAGTTTTCCGCCATTGCTGGAAAAATTCCGTGGCAAATTTATTCAAAGCTTCCAGGGAATAACTAACCGAAATTTAGGCGCAATAATAATTTATGCGGAAATAACAACCAAAATGTGTTCTCTAATTTAGCTTGATGGTGAAAGGATAAAATGGAAAAGGGAGGAGAGCAGAGAAGCTTGGCAGACTTTGATGTTGAAAAGTTCTCTGCGGCTAATCACTTGTTAAGTTATTTCTCATGGCATGTTCTTCCGCGGCGGAGGCCTAAAGATACTTTCCATTGCAGACAAAACATTGATTGGTTGCCGCTGGCAAAGTTATTTGCATTGTTTAGAAGTTGGCTAAAATTGTTTGGAATATCTTGTAATTTCACTGATAAAATATGATGTCTGAAAGTCGACTTCAGAGACATTAAATTAAAGTGATGAATAATTAGGCAGTCGAAGCGAGTGCCGAAGCGAATCAAGGGATCCAGATGTCAACGCATAAAACGGAAGGCAGGAAACCCCATAAACATTGTTTTATTTTGTGGGATGTGCCCCGAGATCAAATCGAGCCCATATCTGGTTTAATTTTAAATATTGCTAATTGAATAAGTTGACTGGCGAAAAGGGCGTGGAGTGTTTATTAACAAATTTTCATTGAAATTTAAAATCTGTTTCGTATGTCGATTCATAATTAAATTAGAGTTTGGGTGACAAGAGAATTTTTATTTGTTTATAGCCGCATTAATTTTACAAACAAATTGAAATTAATCATTCTAGTTGATTTTCCTGTGCAACAATAATAAGCGGCTATCGCAACCGCAACAAGAATTCCTCTTTCATTTCTCAAAAACAACATTAACAACAACCGGCAAATGACTTCCGGCCAATTGAAATGAAAATGATAATCCTATTTTCCCACCCCAATTCGCATCTCCCACCTACGCACACATTAATTAATGATAAAAAAACAGGGATTTAACAAAAACTCAGCGATTAATGTCGGTAAATTCTTTTTTGCCCACTTCGAATCGCAATTATGCAATAAATGCTTCAAAATATTTGCACAACTTTTAATTATAAATTTTGAATTGCTAATTTGAAATATGGCAATTGCAAATCGTCGGGCGTTGGACCGAGTGAAAGACTAACCCCCCGCAACGCCCCTTTGGTTGGATGCATTAAAGTGTGAGCAGTTTTTCACCTAGACTTCGTTGATTGTTGTATGCGCCGGCACGTGACAGCCCTAACCTGTTTTCATTGGAGCGTGGTGGAAGTCTCGATGTTCGGGAAACCCCTTATTTATGGGACGCGGTTCTTTTTATAGCCGTTACTCGTAGAGTAAAAGGGTATGTTAGATTCGTGCAAAAGTATGTAACAGGTAGAAGGAAGCGTTTCCGACTCTATAAACTATATAGTTGCGAAAAAAAATAATAGCACCACTTCGTCACAGGTTCTTAATATTAAACAAATATGTGGAAATCGGGGATTTTTATATAAGAAGTGTTTTTATTATCTTGATTAGTATTCACCCTATTTGAAAAAATTGATACGGATATCGAAAATGTTGTCTACACATAATTTTTTCAGATTTTAAGAAAAAAAGTAAAAAAAAAGGCCAAAAAAATAATAGCACCACTTCCGTTTTGTTTAAATAAAACGGAACGATGCGCTAATATTCTTGTGTATAAAGGATATATTTTATGAGATTTGACTAAAACTAACTTTTCCTGATATCCAGACATCAAATCGATTACCATTTGGCAATACAAGGACATGTGGAAAATTTTCCAAGTCGGAAAAGAAAAATATTGAAAAAAGAAACATATTGGATAGAAAACGGTCATAAAAACCGGTTCGATTGGTTAGGTTTTTGATCATCTTCATTAAGAATGGCATAAACTTTGAAGGATATCACAGAAAAACCGAGTCCTGGCCAATTTTTCCTTCCAAAATGTTATATCACAAAGCACAAAGAATCTTATCAGGGCCAAAACTAAACTAAAACACGTGCTTAAAATAATAGCGAATATTTTAATAGTTGGATAATGTTTCAATAAACAAAATTATAAAACATGCACTTAAAAAAAAAATCTTATCCGAAATGCGAAACATATTTACAAGAGCATACACTCATAAAAAAAAATCGAAGAATTTCCTTAAAATCTAGAAAATTCTTTCTTGAATTTTTGCCAAAGGCGACCTCACCGTTGTTTCAAGAAATGGTTTTTTTGAAAGGCACCATTAAAACCAGAAAAAATATTTCTTGTTTTAAGAAATTATATTTCTTAAAACAAGAAAGGGTTTTTTAGAAAGCCACCATAAAAACAAGAAAAAATATTTCTTAAAACAAGAAAGGCGATTCTTGTTTCAAAGGTGGTTTGTTTCTTGTTTTAAGAAATTAAATTTCTTAAAACAAGAAAGGGGTTTTTAGAAAGCCACTTTTAAACAAGAAAAATTCTTTCTTGTTTAAATTTCCTTTCAAGAAATTTTATTTCTTGATTTAAGAAATAATATTTCTTGAAAGGAAGTTTAATATTAACACTGAAACCCCAAAAATAAAATGTAACTTGGTTTTTTCTTTTGCATATTATATTTATTTACATTTAAAACATTTAACACTTAACATTTAAACATTTTTAAATAACACATTTTTGACTCAAGAAAACATTGTTATTACCCAAGGTCTGTTGAACTTCATATGACCTAAGGTGATCCATTTTCTTCGCCTTTCCTCATCTAGAAAAAAAGAGTTATTGGGATATATCATTAATCATTGATAGATTTGTTTTTAGATAAACAACTTTTTTGAAATAATGTAATGCTAATAATAGCCAAAATACAAACACGTTGGTCAGACGACCGAGAGAGAGGAGCAAGACAGGTAGAAAATGAAGGGTTGAAAATCGAATTTCAGAGAGAGAGAGAGGCACGGATGAGACACGTACATACATACATATATATTTACATACAGTCCTTTGCGCGAAGGGAGACCGAATGTAAGCAGGGCAGATCATGTCATTTTTAAGAAGGTGAAGAGAGAAACGTCGCGACGCGTAGGTCAAGCGAGCGAGAGAGAGGAGCAGAATATGAAAGGGTTGAAAATCGGGTTTCAGATCGGGTGAGCCGCGTACATGCATAGATATTTACATGCATACATAAGTATGTCAAACAAATACAACATATTTTTCTTACCTTAGAAGGTTTTAAAACAAAATTACAGCTTCGACAAACAAATTATTTGGCTGATGCAACTGCAGGTATTTTCACTCTGAAAAATAAATAAAATGCGAGTAATAGGATAAAGTTATTATAGAACTCTACACCCACAAATTTATATACAAATGTATGTATGTACGTAGCTCTTAGCTAAAAAACAATTCAACTGAATTGGTATACGCTTGGTAAAGAGATTTGAAATTTATCCTTTAATTACATACATACAATTGTACGCCCGCTACACAAAAAATTATATATTTACATACCTTTGAATATTTGGAAAAAGGCTTAACCTCTTATCCGCTTGAAAATCACGTCCATCACTCACGAATTTTTTTCACAACTGACGCTCGGGGGATCAGAGAAGTCG